GGCGTAGCGCTTGTGCGCAGGGGTTCAGGGGACACCCCCTGGCCCCAAACGTCATGCAAGCAAGCAAGCAAGCAAGCAAGCAAGCAAGCAAGCAAGCAAGCAAGCAAGCAAGAAAGAAAGAAAGAAAGAAAGAAAGAAAGAAAGAGAGAGACAGAGAGAAGAGAGTCTAAAACGGTCGGGGGCGCTGACAGAGCGCGGGCAAGGGGAGCTTCCCCTTGTCCACAGCCCTGGCGAAAGAAAGAAGAGAGATAGAGCGGAGAAAGCACGGGTTCCGAAGCTGCACAACACAGGTGCAGGCAGTTGTTGCGACAGAACCATGCGGCGATACTCGAGAGTCTGAGGCGCATCAACGCTGGCATGGCATATGTACAGACCAACAGTGCCTGAGCTGAGGCTGGTGCTGACCACACGAAGCTTCACGCAGATCCCTTACATCTCATTGTTCGTGCACATTTTGGCGCGCCGGCTTTCCGACCATGCAAGGAATCTCTTCTAGTTGATGCCACTCACGACGGGAAGAGGACCCGTAGTCGACGGGGTATGTTGTGACATGGTTCTCAGGGATCAGTGCAGCCCAGGCCACCTGCACACCGTGTAGGACACAGCAAAAGCATCACTCGCATTTGTCTGGCCTCCCCACACTGAGCCGGCGCTCCAGGCGGACTGGCACATGCGCCCCTGCGCAACGCGTGAGCGGAATCGTGACAGGTCGCACGTGTCAGTGGTCTCTTCCGTCCCCTCCGTGCCCGGCCCACAGTCTCCAGAACCTTTCTCGGCTCCGACTTCGGCTCTTTGGCTCAGGCTGGCGCCCATGCCGCCCGTCCGAAGTTTAAACTCGGTTCCCGAAACGCAAGGCCAGGCCTTTCTGTCCACTTGGGGCGAGGCATGCACTGATTCTTGCGCTTGCTCTCACGACTCTTCCTGCAGGGCTTTTGGAGAATCATTACGTGACGACCAAAGAGCTGGGTTGCTTGCTCAGCCTTGCTCGCCTTTGTTGCGATCGACAGAAGCATATAACAAGAAGCGAGTGGGCGTCTGACTCAGGTAAGGGCTCCTACGGAGTCGTCTACTGTGTCCGTCACAGGCCGATGAGGGATCCTTTGCCACACAGGTGCTTGTTTGCCAGTTATGGTAACGTGTTGGCTGTGCATCTGCGAAGCTTTGCAGTCAAAGTGGCAGGAGGACAGGGCTGCTGAGGGCGCTCAAGTCGATTCCTTTCGACAAGCTCGAGGACATGCCGTTTCCACGCCTGTACGCACTCTTTTGGCATGTCCTTCACTATGGAACGGAGGATCCAAGTCACTTTAAAGATGAGCTGGAGATCGCGAGGCAACTTAACCATCCGTGCGCCGCGAGCCTCGCACCCGTCACAGCATGCGAAGCTGCAGATTTTCCGGTCGAGGACGCTTCGAGTACACAGTATTTAGTAGTAGGTGAAACGCTGCAGAGTCGAGCAGAATATCTGTAGGATACTTTTGGAGTGCAACAACATGCCGAGTCTTGAATCCTCTTGCTCCTCTCATGGAAAGGCAACAGACGGTAGCGGCAGGCTTGTACAACCCTTCACCAGGTACATCGTAAAGTTGTACGAGGTGTTCCAGACAGGTGAATGTGTGCATTTGGTCTTTGCCTCAGGCTCCGAGTCCGAGGGCTATTAAAATCTGTCATGCAAGCTTTGCTAATCACGTGCGCCCACACTCCGTTCTCATTCGATGTGGCAAGGGCAAGAAGATAACGTGTTTCCTACCGGCCCACTATGAGTAAGATTCCAACTTGGGCGCCGAGTGTACACATGGTGGAAACAGTTTCTGTTGCGCACAGCGTGGCTGAAGAAGTCAGAAGGACAAGCATTACTACAGAAAGGCTGCCTGTGCAGTCAGAGCTCTCGCTTAGCAGCTAGTCGAGTTGGAGCAGCTGGATTGCTATCGATTGAGCTCCCGAGCTGAAATTGAAAGCAGTTTAGCAGATGCACCCAAGCATACGAGGTCATGGAGCTTTGCGGAGGCGGCTCTTTGGCAGAGATGCTGGCCGAGCCCTGAGGAGACGCTGCAAGCTACGCTGAAAGCATGTACTCAAGATCACAGGCCACGACCATTGGAGCAATGAGTTTCCAGAAACGTGCATTGATATGTCGGCCTGGTGTGGTCCATGACTGACCGACAGCAGAACTTCCACGTGCCCATCGCTGCGACTGTAAGGCGTCTGCGAATGCCGCTGCGGTCAAGGCCAGGCAGACATGCATCTTTCGGAGATGAGGTCGCGTACTGACCCAGCAGAAAACGTTGCACAAGAGCGTTTTGCTGTGTCTATGAGCCTAGCTGATTCTAGATCTAGCCAGGCTGCTGGTCGAGGTTCACGTGCAAAGTTGCCAGTCGACAAGACAGGCCGGGTCAGGTGGCACAGGTGTTGCCGCGCAGTGTGATGTATGTAAACAGCATGGCTTCTTGAAGCTCTCATTTGTCCCTCTCAGTGCGAATGAGGGTTGGAGTGCTCATTATAGAGAAACGGTCTTGTTTGCGTCGCAGGCAGATTCATGTTCCGGACTGAGTAACTCCAGTGGATCGGAAGACACGCTAAGACTGACAGTCCCGTTGATGTAGTTTGGGCTGTTAGAGAACTTGATGGATAGCTTCGTTCTTGCAATGTCCTGCATGTGAGTTAGGCTGAGAAGATGGTGTGACAGGTTTCAGTTTATGCTAAGGTGGCAAATGCTGGCCGGCATAGCCTACTTGCATCACCACCGGATCATCCACAGGGACATCAAGCCCGAGAACTACCTGGCCAGGGCCCCAGCATTTTCACGGTCCCATAATCACTTGGCAGAAGTTGATCTGGTGAGCACGGAACGTAGTACGAGCTGACAGTAGCATTGCTCGGATTAAGTCCAGGAGCCCAACACGTCAACTTGCAGTCTATTTCGTCTCCCAGCGTTCGCAGGTGCAGCACAGGGGGGAGCACACAACCCTGAAGCTCGCAGACTTTGGCCTCGCGTGCTCCTTCAAGAAAGGCCTGCACAGCCTGCACAGTTCAGTTGGAAGTCATGACCGGATGATGACAACCAAAATTAAGGAAATTTGAGAACGCACCCATGTGGCCCGCTCACCGAAAACTCTTGCCGGAATTTGAGGAAACCTGCTTGTCGAGGAGGGGATTGAACAGCTGCTGGGTGATACGATCCAACCTGCTACGTGACAGGTGACACGACCATCAGAAGGTGCTGGAGCGAACGCTTAACACCGTACCCTTAATCAGGACATGTTCAGCAAACGATTCGGCTGCGATGTACGTGTGACACTTTCCGCTTGGTTGATGTCTGCATGGGCTGTGAAAGGCTTGTGACACTCGTAGGAGACATGCCGAAAAATCATCCTTGCCACGCAAGTCAGATGCCACGGCTGCATAGCAACGTGATGCTCGTGATGCTCGCGAAAACTACCAAGCAGCAAAGCCTGGTGATCCGCTCCTCTCAGCCTGCAGCGTTGAAGCCCCTCTTCCCCAATCGGATTTTGCCCACAGGCCTCCATCGACCCCAAGAGAGAGCATCACGAGCATCAGACTCATCAGACTGTGGGCTTGTGGGCTGAGCTGGGCTGGATGGGCACTTCAAATCATCTGAAGTTGAAAGGCAGTCCAACGCCTTTGACAAGGCTTAAGAAGCCCCATCCGGCTGTTGGATCGAGGCTGACGAGCGCTAAAGCTAAGCCGTCTTTGCTCGGAAGGTCGACCGCTCAAGGACATTCTCGGCACTCCTTGCTACGTCGCTCCCGAGGCTTGGGGTGTAGGCGTCGGATGCGTAGGGCGGCGGGTGCCTTTCGGTTTTCAGATTCCAAGGGTTGCCGTCCCATGCACACTGACAGTCGCAGTTGCAATAACACCAAGACGCGCAGCAACGACTCTAATAAGGACTCTCACATGGCACGTCACTATGATTCCTCTTCTGAGGTCCTCAACGCTCGATACGACGAGCGCTGTGACGTGTGGAGCGTGGGAGTGGTATCCTTTGTGCTCTGCACCGGTCACGGCCACGGTCGCAGCCTCTCGTCTAACCTCCTCTGATACGTCTTCAAGCGAGGTCATCACCCGTTTGCCTACGGCAAAGGTGACAAAGCAAAGGCGCACTTGCTCAAAATGCACTTGCAGGATCTTGCAGGCATTAAGTCTTCCATCATCTCAACCATTGCTCGAGTGGGGGTGGGAGAGTGGGACATAGTGGAACCACCTTGTTCGCAGAGACTATTCGGGCCGATGTGTTGGGGATGGGCTTGGGTTTGTGAGTAGTGATATGAAGTGATCATGCGTTGCGTTCTGATGTTCAGATGCTCTTGTCTGCAATTCCTCCTTGCAGCCAGCTGTCTGGGTTGAATTAAGTAAGTTATGTCAAAATTTGAGCCAGGTGGTCTTGGAGAGAATCAGATGCAACCACATGGATCCTGCAGCCAGGGTCCCAAACACTGCCAGTGCTTTAGCGTTTCCTCGATGGGTGTGCAGGCATGAGCAAGTCTGCGTTGCAAATTGCGGCTGTTAACTGAAGACTGACAGAGACAGCTCTTCGCAGACAAACTTAAAGCAGCACTGCAGTGCTTCCGGTTTTCAACGTTCCTCCACGAAGATTCGAGATTCGTTCCAAGGAAGCTCATTGGGACGACTCCCGCAAAGAGGCAGGCGATATTAAGTATTCTCACCAAGCCAGCCTGGCCTTTTGAACGGCCCAACGAAGCAATGATTCGGTCAAATCTGTTTGAGGGCTTGCCTTGGCTTGCCAAGCAGAGCTTATCGTATGAAATGCCTGCTGCCTGGTAGTATTACATTCCTTTACCACGCAGCGAGCTGTGTTAGCTTTGTTTGCGATCGAACGACGTACTGGTATACTTCATTGGACGAGCAACATGCAGTTTGACAGGCAAAAGAGCTGGTGTTCGAGATGTTGACGCGGGACCCGGGCAGTGGAGCCAGCAGAGACCTTGAGAAAAGTGTGTGGAAGTGCAGTCAGTACGGGTTTGGATTTCTCATTCGATGCCGGGCCGTGGTTGATCTGTTTCCAGGACCCGGAGCAGCGACCAAGCGCAAAGAAGCTCTTAGCAAAGAGCTTGTGGCTGCAGCAGTTTGATGTACCTGAAAGGCGTGCTCTCTGCAGTTTCATGACTGCCTGCTATTGGGCGAACCTAATCCCTCTGCATATGGAACTGCAGCGTTGCATTCACGGTGTTTGTGCCGTCGCCGTGCAGGCCTGAGGAACCTGCTGCCAACAAGGGCTGCTGTGTAGTGAGTTAGTCGATTTCTGGGGGGCAGCAAGCAGACCGATAAGCACGACGGGATGTGCCGTCTGACGGTTTCAAAGGAAAGGCACCTGCAATCGTGAGTCAAGTTCAGTCGACCTGGCTTTTGCATTCGGAAGCGGCTGTCTGTCTAGCAGGCTGGCACCCCAACATGTTGCGAAGCGGCATGGGACGGGTTTAGAAAGCCACAATGAACCAAGGCCCCGAATGAATGCTGGCGTAACTGTACAGTTCTGCATGCACCTGCAGAGGGGTTACATCCGAGTCCTTTGCATTAGGCGGTTTTGAAGGTTGGCTTGTGCAACTGAGCTCGACAAAGCTAGCCATCAGTCGTCGCGGTGTGCGTTGTGCAAGCCACCACGCTTGACTCCGGTCAAGCGATTCCATCTGCGTGACAGATTCTATCCGGATAGCAACCTGGGCTAGCCTCTGAGTCTGCGAGTCGACCAAGAATGCTTCAGTTTCGAGCAGACACCCGACCTGGCATGGTTTTTTCCCTGTGAGTCTGATATTCGTTGACTTTCTAAGAGAGGGTGAAACTGCTTCTCCCGACCTCTTCGTCGCCAAGTGCCACGCACAGCGTGGATGTATAGCACAGGCTTCGTAGAGGTCCCACCTCAACACCATGACCCCCGAAATGCGGCACAAGCTTTGAAATCATGGCAGCACCTGACCGAGTCAACAGCACAACGGGCATGAAGCTTGCGCAGCAGTGTTCATGACAGCTCAAGAGGACAGAAACGGTCTGCACGGCTCCAGCTAGCTAGGATAAGCATATGCGCATTTAGCTGCAATGTCATTGATTCGAAGAGCTTCTGAATGCGGACCGTTCTGATGGTTTCTTCCAGCAGAGTGAGCACAAGCTCTTCAAAGAAGATAGCCTGGATGCTCACAGCGAAAGATTGTGTGTTCGGAGCTGCAGAAACTCCTGTCAAGGGTCATCATCATGAGCGAAGATCCGTGCGACAATGCCACGACGAGTACCGACTGGCAGTAGCCGCCTTGGCCTTTCGTCAGATGGTTCGTACGCAGGGAGTCTGGCAGCATTGGCAAGAATCTTCGCTCTGCAATCGCTGCTCTCAGCAATCTTAGACCTTTTACCGTCAACGCGACCCTGCGAAAAGAACTGTGATCTGTGATTCGCTATAATGTGTTGAATCTGCTGAAGAATTGCCAAGACAGCTCCAGGCTCGAAGCACAGCTTTTGGTGCCCTGCGCCTCGTGAGGTGTTTGCATGAAGACAGTCCTCATGGTCAAGCCAACCCTGGAGGCTGCCTGTGGGCCGTACAACGTTTGCACCTGGCCTCAGTTGTTTCTCGCCTTGCCCATATCAGCGGCCTGATGGTTACGAATCTGGGATGAGTCTGGACCGATCGGCAGAGCAGCACTCATGATCATAGTTACGTGTCGATCGAGTTTTTCCACACGTTGGTTTCCATCTGTGCTGGCCTGCTAGTCGTTTGCTACAATTTCTGGGCGCCACCACCTAAGCGGTTCTTCCTTCCTGCCAGTTTGCATTTCGCGTTGTCCCTCATGCCTGAATGACATGGTTGTTCACAAGATCGAGATACCCCGTTCGCTGCTCACCGGTGCAATTGCTGGCAGTGGTAGGATATGATCTATGCTACTGGTAATGGCGCATCACCTTAGAAGCTCTGCGTGAATCCATCACCCGGCAGACGGAGTACGACGGAGCGTTTCCTCGTGACTTGACCGGGGGCCAGATGGGTTGCAGGCGAGATAACAGATTCTGTACTGGAGAAGGGAGCAGCTTTTCGTGCCAGTTGTTGCAGGTGCTTCGAGCTGCTCGGCATCGACGTCATGCTTGATGCAAAGATGAAGCCTTACCTCATAGAGGTCGGTCTGGGTGACAAAACAAAGCATACCAGCAACGCTGGTGCCATATCCGTTCCGGATACTTCTTGAGATTGAGGTTTGCGATGCGCTGCTCATGCATTTCTGCTCTGTTTTTCCTCATTGAAGGTAAACCACCTGCCCAGCTTCACCTGTGACTCACCTTTGGACGAGGACATCAAGAGGCCTCCAAGGTTCTATTCATGCAGACGGTGTCGAGATGCCTATCTCTGACAGGCGCTTGGTGAGCCAGACCTTGGACCTTACTTGCGGATCACTGTCGGGCAAGGCGGTCGACTTGTAGCTGTCGTTTGTGTTGGGGAACTGCTCCACGGAGCTTGAGACCTCCGTGTCTCCGTGTTTCCTTCTCGACCGGGCCAGGACCGCAAGCTTTATGAGCAGCTGGTTCGGGAGCGACGCGAGGCGACACGACCCAGCTCTCTGCCCAAGCAGAACGATGCAGCCGTAGTACCAGCGACTCCGAAACAATCGGAGCACTCCGGAAGGGGATGCATTGTAATACATGTTCCTTTGTTACTCTGGCTCTCCTTTTTAGCTAGAGCAAGCATTTCGAAGGGAGAGTGTTTCCGTATGTTGTAAAAAATATCTGGCTCTCTTTTGCTCCAGGCAGGGCAGCCTTTCAATGCCACACCTTGCAAAGCCCTCAGACTTGCCGGCTTGACGTGCCTAACGTCTGATTTTCTGTCGGACATGACGTTCAAGGCCCAGAAGCCAAGAGCGAGGCAAAGCTTTGCAGTGTCATGCAGTCCGTGTCGCAAGTCCACCCACTCATCCAGATCCGATCGCATCGCATCGTGCTGCAACAGCGTGCAGTGTGTTCACATGCTCGGAGGACTCATTTTCTCACGGTCACGGCCTGGCTCAAACTCCGTTTGGTCGTACGTCTGACCCAGACAATAATTGTAAGGTATTGTAAGTATGAGATTTGACATGGCCATCCGTTGCAACTTGTAACCTTGGTTAAAAGATTGAAGGAAGCCTGCAAGCCAGCAACCGAAATCCAGCACTGTCTGCATACCATAGCAGCACCAGTGAGGCTAACTGTCATGATCCATCATCTCGAAGCAGAACCTTGAGGCAATAAGACAAGATAGGATATTTCGCCATCCTACGCGCGGCAGCGTTCACGACTGGGCAGCATGCCTGAGTTTTGGCGCTGCTTGGTTCAAGCTGCGAGATGGGTCAGCCGGTGATCAGAAATTCATTTGACAAGTCTAAGTGACTGCTGTTGACGCCTGTCTGTGCAGGGATTCACAAAAGGGCGCAACAATCGCTTGTGGCTGGTCCAAGGCTGCGGACGCGACTCCGCACACTCTCGGTCTCGCAGCTACCCTCGATCTTCGGCGAGCAGACAGGGCGGAAAGCGGCAAGAAGTGACGTAGCAAGAAAGCCCTGACATGCCCCGAGTTTTCGAGGCCTTAGCCTTCTCTCTCTCTGCGGCCTCTTGGCGGCGATAGCTTCCTGGACCGCACTGTTGGGCTTCGCAAAGCTCAGTCTCAGGGATGCGAGCTTCGGGCTCCGATGTTCGAAACTGAGGCTGGGCAAGCGGATGTCTTTTGCCATCCTCGCCAGCCTCGTGCTTCATCTCGAGGCGCTCTGAATTCCACAGGTCTCTGAGATGTCTGGATCATGTGGGAGACAGCAGTCATTACGCAAAACGGCCTATGTGCCAGCCGTAAGGGGAAGTCTGGAAAATCGCTTATGAAAGCAAAAGGCCCGCGAATAGCTCATCTGAGAAATCAACAACCTGTCCGTTGCATGACGAACATTGTGTCGCCGACTCCCCTATATGGCACTCAAGCCAATCTGCTGCAACCCATGACAGGCAGGCTTTGTGTATTCACGGGTGTTTTGGTTGCCCCACTCGCTTCCCCCCCTGTCTCTCTTAGGCAGATGCAACCCGAACTTCGAACAGATAAGGCCTAGGTGGTCTCGCAATCGCAACAAGCACACCAAGGCCCTATCCCAGGCTTGATGTACACAAGGTTCAGTGTGGAGCCAAGGTTTTGGTCCCTGGAAGTGGCACTTCGGGACCTTCTAGACGTATCCACACAAAACACCCCTGCGTGATCTGGTTCAAACATGTAGCGATTGCATGCGATTGCGATCAAGCAGTAATTCCAGTATCATCAGGAGGGCACCTGGCCCGTTGCGCGGATCCTGCCGCTTGAATTGCACCAGCCTGGGCTGGATCGAAGTCCTGTGGATGTGCAGTTTGGTAGTATCTGCGGATGCTGCAGTCTTTTCTTCGATTCTTTGGCGCGATCATTTTGCAAAGCATGTGGCAAGTATATGCGACTGCGTTTGAGGAGCACCACCACATGTCGGGCTTGCACATGACCGATGCCAGGCCACGAGTATCCAGCTTCGCAATCAAAGTCTAACAGTGTGAACGCGATGTGAACGTGGCAGGCAAGTTCAAGTCCGTTCCTCCAGTGAAGTAGTCTGGAGCTGAGTGTTGTGCACAGAAAGCAGAAGCTGCGGTGGTTGTGGTTTGTGGCAGAAACTATTCCTGTCTCTTCACCTTGCTCAGCTCTTGAGGCACCAGGCCGCAACTACAACTTCGAGGAGTACAGGGGCGTCTATCGCAGGCTCGTGTCTCAAATCGGAGATAGGGATGACAAAAGCAGAAGCTACCAGTAGAGGCAGGCCAAGGCTTCCAGCACACGTCGCCGCGTCGCCTTGCAGGTTGATTAGTGACGAGACCTGGCCACAAGTACTGCGCAGCTCGGCAGGGAGTTTCAACAAATATGGATCATGTGCCAGGCTACAGAGGCACAACAGGATTGGTCTTACGACGCATACTGGGATGGCTTCTAGCTTTATGGCCAGTGGTTCACTTAACACTAACATGGCGGTGAATTTGTCCAGCAAGGGCACGGATGGAGTCTTAGCCAGGGGACTCACAGCCGCTTGACGAGAAAGCAAGGCATTGTGGTGGTCGGACCGATCGGCGATGCATTTCGTCAGACCGTAGAGGCTTGGCGCTTGGCTATGTCACGAATGGTTCCCTTGGAACCGAACCCTAATCCTTCCAGGTGATAATGCCAGTCCAAAGCAAAGAGAGACATTGCTTAGAAGACTTGTAGCCCTAATGCTTAAATCATCGTCGAAAGCTCTGCTTCGAAGCCACGGCCAGGAGGCGACTCCGAAGGTGCTCGGCTGGGATCCGCTGTCAGTGATCGTGCGGCATCCCAGAAGCCATTGGAGATACTGCGATTCCACACAGGAGCCACGTCGTTACTCTCTTAGACCTCCCGCATCCTTGTGGTGCCTAGACTTCCGAACTGCTCCGAGCTGAAAACGCCTCACTTTGGAAGGAGCTGTTTTTCCCGCAGTTGTGCATTATGCGGCCTTGTGTTCAGTCCTTCAGTCTCCTACCTGGGCGGATGCAATGCATACTGTACAGCTTGCGACTGCGATCCGACGTCTTCGGTCCACATGTATCAGCTTGCAGTAGTGTGTGCTGAGCCCCGAGTCATGCTTCGTTAAGTTATAGAAAGCACGGCATTTCTTGGTGCCGGTGCAAACACATGTGTAGTCCACCCCCCACCTGCTTGTTTCGGGGCATTCGGCACCGGCCGTCATTACGATCTTCGCCCTGCTTTGAAATGTATTGGCTGCAAGCTTTTCTGACCCAGGTGAATGAGAGGACGCGGTGGCAATCACTCAAACTCGATGTACGCCTTTCGGCCGCACAGAACCGCTAACATCTGCTTGAAAAAACCGAACCGTGCATTGCTACTGAAGCATCGAAACTCCTCGACTTTTTCTCCAGCTGTCACAGTATCTTGCTGAGCTACCAGCAGCTCACGAGCTGCGCGCTGATTGCCAGGCTTCACGACTCCAGATGACTTCTGCGCCCTGCATAGAAGCTTGGCTGCCTGCTGATTCCGTTGAGCAGACGTTTGTTGCAGCTTATGTCTGTGTCTGTGGCTTGATGCCACGAACATGTCTTGGGTGCGTGCTGCTGGCAGCCGCAATGCTCATCGAATGCACACGGCTGCTATCAAGTCTCAGGCTACTTGAAGACCATCGAGGGTGTCAAGACTGTGCTGTGAAACAGCCCATGCAGTGCTCTTGCGCATCCGATTTTCGCAACCAGTGCGTGTTGCCTGACATGTTTCCTGAATGCCGAGAGTCGTGTCAGTTTCATTCAAGCATCGACTACTTTCGATTCGCCGCCCGATGGGCCACGTCAGCCTTTGCAGGAAGGTGGATAGAGCCGTGTAGATTGGCAACCGGGCTTTGTCCCAGAAGTTGATCACACTAGAAGCTGCTTGTGTCAGAGAGAAAGGATCTCAAGCCGTGAGGACGTTTGTGTGGGGGCACAAACAGACTGCCATCTTGCTGCAGACCTGCACAGTGAGACCGGCATGCTGGCAGGAGGAGCCCAGCATGTTGGACCTTCCGGTGTACCAGGAGCTGGTTCTGCAATCTGCAAAGTGTGATGTTTTTTTGTTGCGAGGGAGCTGCCCGGGGAGAACCTTGCAAATCGGTGTTGCTCGTTGAACGAATCGCAGCTTTGGCTGTAGCATTCCATTAGCACCTCCACGAAGCCGATCCCTCAGTGCCGCCCCGCCCCCAGGTGTCCGCTCAGGATGTTACGTGGCTGTTGACAGCTTGATCTTCTTCCTCCTTCTTGTCGTTTTTTCTTCCATGTATCTTCCCTGAGGTACTGATGGCGCCCAGGACGAGCCCAGTTTCCTACGACAGGGCCCGTAAGGCCCAGCCGCAAGAGCCTGCACGACAAGTCCGGCCTGATGCTTCGAAGAGAATTAAGAGAATGGACCTCATGCATGTGCAACGTGTAGGCATACAGCTCCCTCCAGAAGCAGCGCTTGAAAGCTGACTGCAAGGACCCGGTTTGCAAAAGGTCTTGTTCTGTCGGTGTACGTATGGATTTAGTGTTCCTCCACTCGGTCCGGGCCTGCACCCTCTTGGAGCTGTCGTAGTGTTCTCATGTGCTACAGTAACAGTAGGATGCAATGTCAATCGCCAGGACTATCTGCCAGATGTCTTGAGCGGCAGACCCAAAGCGGTGAAGAAGGAGGTTCGGTCTCAGCTGTGAGCCCGTCAAGCTTGACCTCCCGAAAGCAGAGGCTTTGCCAGCTTCTCAAAAGGACGCCGAGGCCGTGGTGTTGGAATGTTGCAAACTCTCCGGGACTCTCCGTACCAGGGAAACTCAGACTCTAAACTGTGCGCTTGAATGCGCTCACTGCATCATTGTGCCATATTGTGCCCGCTTGTTATTGTTGCATCGACAGCAAGGTCATCAAACGATTGTTTCCTCAAACCTGTGCCCGGATCTCAGTGCACATTGGCCGGAGTATGTCGCTCGCCTGCGTGGCAATGTTTGAACATCTGAATGAGCTCACATGTTGAGTAGGTATTCCCGATGATGTGCAAGCGCGATAAGTCGTGCATGAAAGCCGCAGTATCAGTCGTAGTTTTGCAGCTCAATGTTGCGGAGGATACCCCGCTTGTCGAGTTCGAAGCTGGAGCGGCACAGGAGCACGGGGAGGTCCAACCCTGAGCCGTGTGAGCTAGTTTCGTTTTCGATTGCCTACATCCACCTTTCCCACCCCGCATCATCCCCACGCAGCTTCTACAGGGCAACAAAGAACAAAGAGTTGTCAGGTGCCGGTCAAAGTGGGAGTTGTGCTCTCGGGCGGCCAGGCATCGAGAAGGGGGCCTTGGCGAGCTGTCCTTCAGATGAAAGTTCTGCAAACGGATCGTGGTTTGCCTCTGAACCCTAAACTGTATCAAATTGAAGCTTGTCGTTGCACATGTTCAGTTTGTGAGGTTGGTTGCTTGACTGCTCGCTGCCTCCATTCCCGACCATTATAATCTCTGTAAGCCGGGTGAAAGTTGAGCATGCGGCACCGTCGCCACCATGCAGACCCGGATAAGTGCAGTGCAACATGCCGACTCACGAAACCTGGCAGGCACCAGGTGGGCATAACGTCATTGCGGGCATCTTTGATGGCATCAAGTCATGGCACAAGGCGCACTCCCGAAGTTGCAGATGTGCAGATTCTTGTGTCATTTTCGCTCAGGGGCATTTTATGCTTGGCCGACACCCCGGTTTGCAATCAACCATCAATCCACAATCATACTTAGCGCTTGCCCGAGCATCGATGGAACTGTTTCCAGTAAAAGGATCCGCACAGACACACCATGTTGGTCTTTGAATGAATTAGCATAAACACTGCGGAGATCCGACAGACTAATCCCATGCCTTGAGAGTGGGAAGTCGCAAGAGAGTGTGCCACGTGGTTTGCGAGCTTGAGTAAAGTGGCTGGGCCCCGGTGAGCAATGAACATGAACTACATAGGGTAATCGCTTCGAGTTGTATGGCTGCGAATTTACAATGGGTTGCTGGGACATAAGTATGAGTCATGCAAGCCAGTGTACGCTCTGAGAAAATCGGATTGTAGTTTTACGACGGGCAGTTCCTTTTGGTCCGTCACGCCCTGGTACAATTGACCAGCATGTTGCTACGGTGGAGCTGCTCGAAGAAGTGTTGCAAACATGAAGCATTCAAAGTGTAAATCATTGTAAATCCAAGATTCGACACGTGTACCTGATCCTCCTCACCGCCTGGGCCGCCCCTTTTCCGAAAGAGTGCCACCCCTGACTAACATCCCTGCTGTGCCGGCATACCCCATCATTGCATCTCTGACATTTTATTTGATTATCCGCAAACCGGCAGAACCTCTAGCAGCAGAGGCGGTGGTGGGCAGAGGGTGGTGACATTGGATGGGCTAGGGTGGAGTGGCTGGGTCCGCTTGCGATATTGGACAAGTTGGTTTGGGTAGGGGCGGTTGCGGTGGGGCATCCATGCAAACTGCATCCCGGGCTCCTGACCGTGGAGGTGGGGTGGATTTTCTGAAGGCAAGTCTACTGCAAAAAGTTTGCCGTTGTTTCCTTAATTTACTCCACATGCTGCACTCTAATTGGTGCCCAGATGTCATGTAGCCGCGAGCTTTCAGGATGAGCTCCAGCTGCTGTTGCTCCTAGGTGTGAGAACGTGTTGGATGCAGAAATTTCTTGGGCACTCAGATCTTTCGCCTGGCCCTGGGGTTGCACAAGTCATAGGCCCGAAGCTGTGCGGAAGCAAGAATCGTGAGGACCTGAAAAGGATAAGCCACGTAAACCCTACACCTACACACCGACCCTGGCAATGCTTGAGAGACTAGAGTACTAGAGCACGTTGGAAGCAAAAGCAAGAAATTTGTCGTTCCTTGCGGACGAGACTCGAGAGCACTGCAACGGGAGCTGACGGAAAAGCCAAAGCATTCGTTTACGGGAGCTATCTAACTCTTGTAATCACTTCCAGCAGGAAGCCTACTGTGCTACCACACGGTTTGGGAATAAGCTGTCTATGTAAAAATCACGAAAGCTCGCGTAGCAGAGCTTGAGTTTAGTCTTGCCTTTAGGCAGGCAGTCCAGGGCCAGAAACCAGCGTATTATTATTGATAGATATTGATAGTATCAATTTAGGGGGGGAGGCGGCGGGGGGGGGGCTAGTACGGTTCATACGAAAGCCTGTGTTTTGGCACGGGGGGGGGGGGGGGGG